AGAGAGTGAGTGAGAGAGAGAGAGAGAGAGAGAGAGAGAGAAAGAGAGAGAAAGAGAGAGAAAGAGAGAGAGAGATATTTAACGTGTACGTGTGAGGAATGCAATGATCCCGTCTCACGTTTTACGTCATTTTGTGACTCATTCGACACGTTCCAGATCACTGCAATGTTCGCAGTCCATAAACTGTTTATGCAGGCTTTCCCTGATTTACATGGGAGTTCCCTTGTTGATGATGTAAGGTGATGGGCAGCAGGGAAGGAGTTATGGGAGGGAGGGAGGAGGAGGAGGAGCAAAATAAAGAGAAAGAGGCTTATTTGGACAAAGGATTGGCTTTAAATGCGAAATATTTTCACACACACAAACAGGGGGGGGAGGGGGGAGGGGGTTGCATGTGGGCTTAGAGTTTGGAAATTTGTACTTCAGAACTGTAAACCTGCAGCAGTAAGAAAGCATGGAAGCATTAAAAAGATGATCACCGTGCTTTTCTTTAGCAGAGTTCAGTGATCTTTTCCTTGCTATGATTTGTGACACTGTTTCATGGCCCCTAAAGATCTGTTTGTGTTGTACTTTTTGCTGTACTTTTTCAGTATCTGGCAAGCTCAGTCCAACGTATTGTATTGTTGAAGCTAAAGTGTCATCCTGATCATGTTACATATCTCTATTTCCCAGGCCTCCTTCAACTTTGGTGGTGTTTACTGTGGCTCCTCAGCAACAATGCCGTTCCGCTTGGAGAACAAAGTAAGTAGAAAAAATGTATTTATTGCTGATGATAGATGTTTGAAATCCCCCCTCAAATACAATTTTAATCATATAGAAGGTGGATGCTTCGACCATACCTGTTAACGGGAGGAGCGACCCTCAGTTTGGCCGATTTTGGGTCAAGCTATGCAAATTGAGATGTTGGTTGATTTTTTAAGATAAACCAATTCTTTGTCTAAAAATAGCAAGGAGACAATTTAAAAAGTCTTTATTCTGGTCGTATATTGCCTTTGAAAACATGAGGGTGGGTTAAAATATAGTGAACTTGCACAATAATTGTCGTTTTTCTCAAAATGTCATTTTTTTTCAGCTTTCCGGCCTACTCCTTCCTTATTTTCCATCTTTTTTACATGAAATTTTCAGGAAACATAGATAGCAAGGCTATCATCAATGTAATAGAGATATTTGCCAAAAAAATGACACTTTTCCATAGAAGGCAAGCGATTACGTAAACAAAATTTGGAAAGGTTTATATACACTGGGAAAATTTTCAAAGTTTTAAACTGTTATGTTGATAGGGACTGGTTCAAGTATACTCTCACCAAATTTGGTCAAATAAGAAAGCCTTACGGATTTGAAATTCATTGTTTATTTCCAAGATGGCCCCCATTTCCATAGCAACCTCTGTAGTTATGCAAAAATAAAAGTACGTATCAAGAGATTTTTTATGCCTTACTTATATGTATACTTATGTTTGATCTCGGGCAACAAGCATAGAAAATGGACTTTGAGGGTCGCTCCTCCCGTTAAAGCCAACAGGTGCTGAGGAGGATACAGCGTCCCAGCTGATGAACAGATATACTTGAAAAAATAGCATCCCCAGTGGGGCATAAAGTGGTATAAAAGTTATATCTTCAGGATAAAGGTGGTATGAAAGTTACATCTTCGGGAAGAACTTAACCATCACACCACAGAGACCAGTATTTTTGCTTTGCCAGAGATGGTGAATAGATGTGAAACAAGCCTTAGTTTTATTAATTTTGAGCAAATGTAAATTGATTTTTAAAAAAGTCAAAACTGCTTATCTATTGTTGTGTATTCTTCAGAAAGCTCTTACGGTTCCACAATTACTTCATTTAATGTACCATTTCAGTTCATGGTGGGGGGGGGGGGGGGGAGGAGGGGCAGACAGCTTTGTAGCTTGTTAAACACATTAGACTGTCATTATTCATGCTTAAAATTTGAAACCAGAGATTTACTTTTCTAGTAATATCTCAAGCTCTGCAGTTTGGTGTTTTGCATTTTGAATGATCTGAAATATATTCTGGCTATAAACAAAACATCACAAGGAAAGAAAATCTTTGCAGTGTCTTAACTTTCAATCAATAGAACTTGACATTGTCAGTGCAAAATTCATTACCAGATTGATTTACCAGTTTGGAATTAAGCAAATGACCCTTGTATACTGTCAGTGAAGAGCACGAGCATGAGAGTGTAATACGTTGACTGTTCAGGAACTTTTTAAGAGTTTAGAGGTTTCACAGAAGTTGGGATAATTTTGCTCTCCGTTTGTGTCATTTTTCTGCTCCTGTTATCCGTCTGTCAAGAAGTCAATGTTCCCTGAAAATTATGCAGCTTTATTACGGAGTAAAGTGGATACGTTCCCAGCGAAGTATAATTCAGGGGTGACCCTGACAAGAATCTGCTGGAAAAAAAAAAAGGGGGATGAAATAATAGATTTTTTGTTTTAGAAAAAAAGGTGACAATATATGATATAAACATTTTCACTAACAGAGTTCACACAAATTGGACTCAGTTGTATGTCAGTGATTGCTATTATTGTGCAGCAGCAAACAATCATCATTGTTGTTCTACTCTCAGGCCATCACCAAATGCCGTCTGGAGTTTGACCTTACACGATACAAGGACTTCTCCCTGGCTTTCCCTGGCTGTCAATCTCAGGGTAAGGTTGTTTTCATAAGACAAGACATAAGAGACAACACAGCAAGATTTTTTTTGTATCGATCATTCACTGAAAGAAGTTTACTATCTGTTTGCATGAGCCTGTGGGACACTAAATATGAATGCTTAGTGTCGTATCGATTCAATTAAACAGTAGTGGCTAACAAAATGCATGCATAACCACTTACTTTCTCTAATATTTTCTAACATCCAAACACACCCACACATCTACCCAAAGTGACCCAGGCTCTCTCTCTCTCTCTCTCTCTCTCTCTCTCTCTCTCTTTCTCTCTCTCTCTCTCTCTCAATCTCTCTCTCTCTCTCTCTCTCTCTCTCTCTACCTCCCTTTACTCCCCCTCCCTTGCCCAAATCTCTCTTTCCCTCACTACCTCACTGCTTCACTTATGTTATGATCATGCAGAGGGCAAATACATAAAATGAAATGACTACAGCTGTTTGTGGATACAGTTTTTCTCTTCAGTTCTCTCTTGTCATGGTTCTCTGTTTTTGTTTTCCCTTTCTGAATCTCATATGCATCCCCATCTATTTGTTCTGTCGTTTTTCTGTCTGTCTGTCTGTCTGTCTGTCTCTCCCCCTCAGTACCTGCTGCCTCCATCTCTGTCTGTCTGTCTCTTTTTTATCGCTCACTCTCCTTTTGTCCTTCTCTCTCTCTCTCTCTCTCTCTCTCTCTCTCTCTCTCTCTCTCTCTCTCTCACTCTCTCTCTCTCTCTCTTCCTCTGCATGGTACTTGTTTGAAGATAGGAATGTCAAACTTCTTTCCTATTTCTCTATTCCTTCTGTCTGTTGTTTAGCTCATAACCCTCTCTAAACAACTTTATTTTAGTGTTTTGCCTTGATTTTATTGAGAAAAAAAAAAGGGCAATAAAAGAGGTCTCACCTGAAGTAGTTATTTGGTGTAAGGCCTGAGCCTACTTTCTTGTCCTAGTGACTGTCATCTTAATTTCTTCATTTATGTCATAAATGTGTCAATAACAAAGCTCCCTCATATCTTAGTGAGCTCATCCAGATTTATGTTCCATCTAGATCTCTAAGATCAGGCGACCAGTATCTTTTACGAGTTCCTAGAAAAGGCGGTAAAAAATTAGCCGAAAGATCGTTCGCCCACCTTGCTCCGTCAGTTTGGAACTCTCTTCCCCAACCCTTGAGACATACAACATCTGAGTCTAAATTTAAAAAATCTTTAAAGACACATTTAATGACATCCTTTTTAAGTCAGTAGATTCATGTTCAATACAATGTTATGTAAATGTCTATGTATTCATTTATGTATTTTGTGAATTGCAGTGTATACATTATTTTATTCTCATTTCGTGACGATGTGTAATCGTGTGCGTGTGATAAGCAAGTAGATGTGTGTGTGTGTGTGTGTGTACGTGTGTGTGTGTGTGTGTGTGTGTGTGTGTGTGTGTGTGTGAGTGTGTGTGTGTGTGTGTGTGTGTGTGTGTGTGTGTGTTTGGTATACATGTGTGTGCACATGTGTGCGTGTTATGTGTGCGTGAGTGTGTATGCGTGTGTTTGTGTGTGTGTATGTGTATATGTGTGTGTGTTTGTGTGTATATGAGTGTGTGTGTGTGAGTGTGTGTGTGTGTGTCGCGTGCATGAATATTTTTCTTACATGCATTTATGTAAAGCGCCTAGAGCTGTGTTTACACGGGAGTGGGCGCTATAGAAATGATCTTCATTATTATTATGGTAAAATGTGGCTATTATTCTTCTGATTCTGTGAAAGCTGTAACACAAATCAAATTTTCTACTGACGTTCTCCCCCCCCCTCTCTCTCTCTCTATCTGAATTAATGAATAGAGGATTACAATTACCAACTGCTGAACCCTGGCATGGCTTCTGTGACCCTAGAGCCTGAGGAAATCATAGAGGGAGAGATCACCTTCACACCAACACAGGTACACATCTCTTGCTAAATCTGGATTTGACTTCTACTGTGAGTTCTCAGTATTTAGGTCTTCTTAGAGATACCAGAATAACAGTATTTAGTGCTGGATGTTTGTAAGTTACATAGAAAAGGTGTCAATGGGGTGGTAAATGTTATGTTTCCAAAAAACACACATCAGCCCGCCCCCTCCCCCCCAAAAAAAAGCAAACAAAACAAAACAAAACAAAAGGAAACTGATGATGATGGTGATGATGATGGTGATGATAATGAGGATGATGATAATAATGACCTAATTGTTGAGGATGTTGTACAGTCCTGGTGTTAATTTTTTCCTTTTGTGCCTACACTGGATCCTCTCAGACTGTCCTGAGGGGCAGGACACAACCCCCATTCCTAACTCCCGGCATAGTGGCCAAAATTTGGAAGTCAGTTGTCATCAGGGTACCTTACATTATATTAATAAATGTATGCTGAAATCTCACGTGGAGGCTGCGTCTAAGTGATGACATTGTTAGTTTTTTTCTGCCCTACTTCTATGCTACCAAAACTTCAAAACAATGAGAAGAATGTGGCTAGTAACCTTTGTAATAATTGTCATGGTCAACATGATTAACATCTCTAACTATGTATGTGTGCTTACAAGTTATCGCTGTCTGCAGTTCATCACAGATCCCGAGGCACTTCTGTGATCAGCTGAACGTATAAAAATCCCCACAAAACCATGCCACAATAATTTAAAAAATTACAAAAAAACAGGACAAGATCATGAAAGAAGCAGGCTCTCCAAATTCAGCACCCATCTCTGATAGGACTGGGCCAAGAGGGTGGAGAGCCTTGAGAACTTTCAAAACAAGTGGAAGGCAAGAATACTTAGTTAGGGATTGGAAACTGGACATTTATATCGCAGTCTAGCTCGATATTTTCAGAACTGATACTGAGCCCAAGCAAGTGACTTTCTGCTCACTCAGAGCATGAGAAAGAGGGAAGAAAGGAATACTAGGAGATATTTTTCCACTGGACTTACTTCCCATGCCTTGTTTTTATCAATTGCTCCTAGCACTGTTATAGAAGTTATAGATATTAGATAATCAACTGCTTCACGTCTGCAATGGACATATATATGGTAGTCACATAAGTAAGGAAGGAATGCACTCATTTTTTTTCTCCCTTTCCTTTAGTGTTCTTTCTTTGACCAAGCTCAATGTTTGAAACAAATTGTCATTAAAAAAAGAAAGGAAGCAAATTGGATACAAAACACAAACCATCATACATAGACAGTTGCTTCCATTCTCAGTTATTTGATTCTTTGGATGCAAAATCTCAGGGTGTAGTGGGTCCTCTATGTAGAAGCTTTTCATGATAATAAAAATTTGATTAGGTTTTTCGGCATTTTGGAAGTAACAATAGAATTGTCACATATTATGTGTCACGGCTTGCCAAAGTTGTACACATCATCACTTTTTTTTTTACATTTAGAAACTTTATTGTATTGTATGAAAATTTCTTTAATTCCTGGATGCCACAGTTTAAAGACAAGTGTTCTGTAGTGTAGCAATTAGGTATTTCCCCATTGCATGCAGGGGATATGTGAGTTTGTTTCCCACTTGAAGAGAATTTCCATTGAGTGACTCCATCTTTCCGCTGAGACATTGTATCCCTCTCAGTGCTAGTTGGCCCTGACAGGCAGGATTGAAGCAACTCACCCCTCAAAGATCTAAATAATGTAAAACTTCAACAATTATGTACTTTTCAGTTTGAAAGTTTAGAGCATAACAAAATTGTCAGGTCTGGAACTTCCTGAAATGCAAAGCTGAGAAAAATATTTTTTATGGGAACAATTTTTTTTCTCGCAAAATTTCATTTCTTAAATTGGAAAGCAAGAGAAAGTCACCTTGAAAACTTTATGAGGGAGCACTCTTTTTCCAATCAAGTTAAAAAAGTTTGTTGCAATTGATATTATGTAGTAAACTGAGGTTGACCTTGCCTTTTTTTAAAAACAGGTGGCTGCCTATGACTTTGTCATGCCTGTGGTTGTCAATCATTTGGGTGCTCCAAGTCCGGCCCCCACCCCTTTCCCACCTACTCCTGCCCCGTCCAATAAGAACAGCATTCAGCACATTGTCAACCCGCGGCCCATGCCTGTTACTGTGGCAACACCAAGAAAGCAGGTCATTGCAACAGCCTTGAGACAGCCGCTGCAACTGGGCACCAACCGTTTAGAATTTTTGCTTCCTTCAAACTTCCATGATATCTCCACCAATATCACTATGGGCTCTACCAAGGTAAGACAGTGTATCTTTCCCATCTGAGTCTATACATGGAAATGTTAGCTTGATCTTTTATTTTATGTAAAAATACATAATTAAAAAAGAGAAGAAGAAGAAGAAGAAGAAGAAGAAGAAGAAGAAGAAGAAGAAGAAGAAGAAAAGTGTGTATGGGTATAACACTATTAGGTTATCTAAGAGGCGGGACCTTGGAATTTATAGCTCTCTCTGACAGGATGAAAGAAGAAGAAGAAGAAGAAAAGGAGGGGGAGGAGGAGGAGGAGGAGGAGGAGATAAGATAATAGAAGAAGAAAAAGAAGAGTTGTTTCAGAAATACTGTTGTTTCCACTTCTTTTCTTGTTTTGTAAGATCATTACATCCATATCATTGCCATCTGCTTACATACTGTAGTTGATTATTGACTCATCTCAGTTCAAGCGAAGGCAAAGATGAAAAAATGTTTGTCTGGAGTACAATACCACCCTATCCCATGTCCACGCTCACATCTACAAAGGGAAGTAATTCTGATTATTTTGATTTTCCTGCTAGTTTGTGCAGTCTTACATTCCCTTAGTTGATGTGTTTGCAGCATGATATAAAACGCGAGGCGTGCTGACGAAATGAATTACTTATAAAATTTTAGACCTTTGGACAAAGATAAGTCAAATGTATAGGTACAGTTTGTACAATGTATTAATTAAGATTCATAAAAGACTTTGGATTTAATTTGAAGAAAATAGTTTGAGTTGAAAATTTACAAATCTGACCCTGTTTTGAATTTTGGCCAATATCTCCAGGAACTAATTTTGTTAGCACGCTTCACAAATGAAAGTGTTTTGTACATAAAATTTCTGTTCTTGTTTTTTTGGTCTTTGTTTCTGTCTGGGGAGAAAAAGAGAAAAGGAGGAAAGGGATATGCAGGCTAATATACAATTTTGTTTATTTTTGTTAATTTTATTTTGTGTCTTATTATAGTCAGTAGTGGTAGATTGTTCTGCATGACTAAATCTATAACCCTTATGTTGTGATGGGGATGAAGAATTAAAAGGTTCTCTGATTGTGTAACCACTGCAGAAAACTGAGTTGATGATTCTTGCACGTATATGCAGACTTTTGTCTGCAATTAGGTCTGAAAGGCTTCTGGCAGCTTCAAACTAAGAAAATAGAAAAAATAAATAAAGTTACACGAAGTGTTTAATCACATCTCTATAAACTTTCAAAGGTCATTCTTTTAGTTGTGATATATTGAACAAAAGCAAGACATTTTGGACTGGAATGTTTTGTTTTTAAAACATTAGGCTGATAGCCTTGTAGATTCTATTCCTTGAAAAAAGGTATTTGATATGTCTAACTAGTATGAAAGTTAATCTCAAGTTTAAATGGTGAGTTTGTTTAATCTGTGCATTCTTTTCGTCTTTCTTGTTACTAGTTCAATGAGCAGGTAAAGTAGACCTTGGCATCATGAATGGAGTGTGTAATTTTCAGTGTTGATAGTTTTTTCTCTGGTGGTTTTTATTTGTTCATGGGTGCACTCAACTGTTTGTGTAAGTGTGATGTGACCTTCTTCTTAATCCTTAAATATCTGTGCTCTGATGCCATTGTTTTATCTGAGCCAGGGATGATTTAATGTTTATGGACAAATAATGAAAAGACCCCCACTGTCTTAAATTCATGCAATATTATTAGCTGTATGTAAAGAAATTGTTTGCTGGCAAATGGTAACCATAATAAGGAAGATAATGATGAGGTAAATGAAATGGTAGTGATGATGACGACAATAATGGTCATACTGAAAGTAATAGTACTTGTTATTATAACATTATTATTACGACAAGCATCATCATTATTGTGGATATTTTTATCTTTTTTGTTAGTTGTAGTATTCAGTATCAGCTTTTGAAATAATAAAAGAATTTTTATTAATTGCAACTTGTGCATAGGCCTACTTGTATGAAATTTTATGCACGTTGAATATCACTACGTTCCTTGGGTAATGCTAACAGCCAACATCCTTGATCTGTGAAAGTAAAATGTAAATCATTTAGTTTGTTCAATGGGAACATTTCATGATTTTTCGCTACCTTCGAATTACAAAGTTCTATATAACATTTTTGGCTGTTTTGAGTTACGAAGACCATGAGGTCAGAAACAAAATGTTCCCTCTACTCTATCAATATAGCAAGATTATTCTGAGTCATAATCAAGATATTTGAAGAACTGCATTTTAAAATGTTTCATATAGATCTATTGTAAAACTAAAAAATGTTAACATCAAATTTCTCAAGACTAGGTATTGAACAGATAGAGCTTTGTAATTCTGAGGAAACGATTTTTCACGGTTATACAAAACAGATCATAAGTATTTCTTTCTCCCTTTCTCCTGTGGTTTCTTGATGTCTGTTTATTTGTGTTTTTCTCTGAATCAGTGTTCTCAGGGAGTACACTTTTGGGGTTGGGGGCATTCATGCAATATCTATACAAGTCATATGTGGGATGCATATGCTCATTATGTGTGTGTGTAGTTGGAAAAAGGGGGTGCATAAATAGTACACGTTTGTGTAACAAGTTACCTGTACTCACACTGAAATGTGTTGCACCTAATCACTTTACTAAACTTAAGTTTCAATTAAGCATACATGGCACTTATACCCTTCCATGTGCAGACTTAGGCTCATTCATACCCACTGCCACAGTTGCATAGGCAGACAGATAGACAATCAGGTAGTTACACATACATACACACACAGACTCACACACATACACACAAACACACACACACACACACACACACACACACACACACACACACACATTCTCATGCATTCACTGAGACCTGCCTGCATACTGACACATGCCAGGGCTCTCCCATGCACGTATATGTGCACCTGCACACACTTGCACACAAACTCACACACACATGCATGCATAGTCATGCACTTCAACTCTCCAGCATACTTGCAGACTTAATATGCGTTCAAAACTCGACTTTTCACATTAACTTGAACATTCTCGTTGATGCAATGTACAAAATAGCTTATTGATGGTGGAGGATTAACATATATGGCTCACTTTTCTGTAATTCAAGCTCTTTTCTTCACTTCTATCTCACTACTTGTCACCTTCTGAATAACACAGTGTTTATAGGTATGGTGATTCATGTTGTAGTAAAATATTTGTGTCTCTTTTGCAAACAGCTGTTTGATCTGTTATTTGCAGTTTCATTGTTTGATGCAATTAATATTATTTTTTATCAAAGTTTGATTTCTTTTTGTGTCGAGTCTTTCTGAAAATGAAATGTAAATCGCTAATTAGTTAGTGCAATGGGAAGAGATCATGACATATTTCTCACTGTTATTAAATAAAAAGATGATAGGTAAATTTTCTTCCCTGTACGACACTCGTTTGGTGATTTTTGTTTGTTGTTTAGTGTTTTCCTCTGAATCAGTGTTCTCAGACAGTACACTTTTGGGGTTAGACGCATTTATTCAGTATCCATACTAAGTCATAAGAGTGTGAATAAATTTCAAATGTCTGTACCAAGAGTATGTATAAACCCAAAATATCTGTCTCTTTCAAGAGTGTGAATAAACTCTGGATGTCTTTCCCAATAACATGGGTGGGTAGACCCCAAATACCTGTCTCGCCCAAGAGTGTAAATAAACTCGAAATATCTCTCTCTCTCTTTCCCCGCCTCAGGCTATTCTGGTCATCAACAACAGCAACACCAAGCTCACCTGGGGTTTTGACCTGACCCGGGCAGGAAAAGTGCTGGACACTGGCGTCTTCAAGTTCCTCCACGAACAAGGAGTGCCCTTCATCTCCCAGTCTGAGAGCCAGGGGATCGAAGGAGAGTTGGAACCTGGCATGACCCAGACCGTGCTGGTCAACTTTTGTCCTGGTCAGTCTCACGGCTACGGTCGATCTCCCCTTTTGGTTGCGTTATTATTACATTTGGCATGTTTGTCATACATTTGATGGGTCCAAGTGTGTTTATTTATGAGTAAGGTTGTCTGTGTTTGTGTGTATGCTTTTGTGTATTTGTGTATCTGTGAATATGTGGATGCATGAAATTTGTACATATGTGAGTGTGTGTGTGTGTGTGTGTGTGTGTGTGTTTGTGTATTGTGTATGTCTGTGTCTACGTTTTTGTTTTCTTTCATGAGAGACTATGAGTTAAGTCTTACTATCATTATTAGATAATAAAACAGCGCTAAGCAAAACCAGACAAATGTACTAGTCAGTCGTGTACTTGACAATTTATGTTGAAGTTTGAGATGAAAAAAGAGTCTGAAACGTAATATACCTCTCACTTTATGTAGTGGTGTATTACCTCTATTATCTTTACTTTGATTTTAATCTCGAATTTATGATTGAAGATTAGTAAAAAAAAAACCTATCCTTCTTTCATTCATTCATTCATTCATTCATTCATTCATTCATTCATTCATTCATTCATTCTTTCATTCATTCCAAATTTCCCTTGTTTATTCATTCAGTATTTCTGTAAGTCATTCATTTATTCTTTCTTTGTTTTATCCATGTAATCTTTGTCCCACCCAGAGCGATCGGGCAGGTACCAGGCAGTCATCCCAGTGGTCATCAACTCTGAGTGGGACAAACCGTTCCAGTTCCTTGAGATCTACGGCGAACTCAAAGCCCCTGAGATCTGGTTTGACCCTCACAGCATCGTGCTGACCCCTGTGCCCCTCATGACAGAAGTGTCTGCTGAGTTCACACTCTTGGCGTCTCATTATAGAAAGTGAGTGGACCTTAGTGCAAAGCCATAGCAGGGAAATGAACTCTTTTCAAGCCTTCCTAAGATACATCACTGATATCCCATGCTAGACTTGTGCCTATCTATAGGACCTATGTTTTATGTTAAGGTATCATGTCCCTCCCTCAGCACCCCCCCCCCTCCCCCCCCAACAAAACAAATCTCTTCAGTGTGTAGACCATATCATTATATAAAATGTAGAAAAGGATACAGGACTATACATTATTATTTTTATTTAAATTACGCCAGAGTCATAATCATGCGGTGTCTTGCCAACTGGCGTGGGCGATCATGGACCTCCACTTCACTCTGTCTTGCGTTGCAGCTTTGGTGTCTGTTATTCTTGCTGTTCCCAGCCATGTTGTCATCTTGTCCAGTATCTTTTTCCTCTCTCTGCCTATGCCTCTCTTTTCATCAAACTTGCCTGTTGTTACAATATTCTCCAATGCTTCTTTTCACATTGTGTGTCCAATGAAATTTGCCTGTCGCTTTCGTATATTCGTCATAAGCTGTCGTTTACACAAGAGCATCTTCAGGTAATCTTGCTGTATTCTGTTTCGGAAGGCTCAACAAGATCACTGTGGTACTGCCTGAGATTGAGTGTGAGGATGAGACCAAGATCACACCTCTGTCGGTGGACTTCTTGCAGGGCCCAGGTGAGAAAAAAATGTTCTTTTGGGGTAGCAGTGACCCGTAACCGTCTTTTGGCAGAGCTAAGATTTAATTCTCAGCGGGGGGGGTAAATTGCCTTAGTGGTATTACTTTTCTGGCAATTTCTTTGGTTCTCTAATTATTTCAGGTTGGTGTAAGAAGAAGAATGCTGGAAATTCTTGAATGACTTAATGATTTACACCCCTTTCACAATGTTTGTTCTTGTGGGATTTGTCTGCTTCTGTTGTGCTTGTGAGGGCCAACACGCATGTGAAGTAGTATCTTACCTATGTGGGAATCTGACTCTACCTTTTAATTTTGTGTAAGGCAAAGTATTTTACCATCACCCCAGCACTTAATTGTTACTACATTAGTTATAAAAGTGATTGTTACTTACACTTACGTGCACATATACACTCATGCATAAATGTATACAGCTGTTAAATTCATACTCACGAGCACAAGGACAAACACACTGACTCAACTGATGATACTTACACACATACATTGGCACCCATACATGTTATATTCATTTAATTTGTCTATGTTTCAAGTTAATTGTCCCTCCAGACATCACATCTGTCTTATGTAAGGTCATACACACTTGAAATCATTTATACATACTCATACAAATGCCAAAGAATTCACTCACACAAACATTCACCCAAAGGAACTGCACTCTCTTGCTTTCAATGCCCAATACACACGCTCAGACACATAAACTTGAAAACCCATGCACATGCAAACACACCCATACGCTTGTGTATTCTGTTTATTAAAATTTCTTTTACTTGTTCTCCCCCTCCTCCAGAAATCAAGCCATGCAGTGGCACTGAAGGACAAGTGGATCCTTTTGCTCTTCCCTGTAAGGTCGTCTTCTCGAGCCCTAAACCTGTCTCTTTCTCTCAACCAATCATCTTCAGTGATGAAGAAGGGAACACGTAAGTGGGATTTCCCTTTCTCTTAATCTTAACACTTCTTACGCTGTTAGCTGTGATTCCCTTTACTTAATCTGAGTTTCAGTTACATTATTACCCTAATATTATTTTGTTAATCTATTATATGTTTGGCAACTTGGAAACACATTTGTCACTTTTCCCATAAAACTACGACAGTTACAGAGTTGAAAGTTGGCAAGTACCTGCCGAAAGATAGATAGGTCCCGATGACGGAGCCTGATTTTTGATTTATTCATTTCCTGAATTTAGAAAAATATATTCCTTGCCCTTTATGATTCTTCCACTGAGAAACGAAACAAATCTGTGTAGCTGTCCTTCCCAGCGGAAGTGCCGGAAGTGATATGTCATGAGGCGCATTTTCTTTTGAGAGTATAGATCTAGACCTTCTAATTTTTTGCATCTCTCAAGATTTATTGCTCCATTCCCGTTGAGTGTAAATATAGTAGGCCAATGACTTTCAGTTTATGTTAAGGCACCAATCATTCCTTTCATCGGAAGGGGGCCCGGCTAGTTTATTATAATTTTGCATGGACAACCCCTTTGTTCTCAGGCACGGAACTACTATTCTTTTCCTTATGACTTGGGACCTACAGTCATTCCCAATTCAGAGAAATGGAAGGAAGTAGATTAAAAAAGAAACGAGGGCAAGATGCTTCTATGCAAATAATAAATTAGTAGCATGATAATGTTGTTGTTGTTTTTTAAATGTGGCCTGTAACTTGACTTCAAACAGGCACTTTTAGTTTCTAAGGCTACAGCTTTGTTTTTCCGACAGGCTGTGTCTACAAACCCCCTGCTCCCGTTCCTTACATTTTTATATTATCTTTTCTTTTCTCTGCAGTTTCTCCCTGCAGGTAACGGCTACCGCAGACAACTGTCTCCTCACCTGTTACCCATTCCTTGCCCTGCACAGGGGAGACCATCAAATTGTTTGTGAACAGGTCAGTGCTTAAAGGGTTAAGAAGTCTTCTACCTTGTCAGTTTGCACGTGAAGCATGCCTTGTATATTTAAAGTTTTGCAACCTGCTTATTAAGTTATTTTTTAGGCACTGCATGGCTTAGAACAATAAATAGGGGGTTTTTATTTTGGCTTTTTTGCCCAAGTAAAACAAATGGCATCAATATTCAGACTAGATAGTTGCAAGATCTGATTTACATTGGAATTGAGGATGGAAAAGTCACTGCAGTGATTAAAAGAGTGGGGGTGGAGGTAGAAGGCGTGCCCATTGTGTCCAAATCTGTTAATTAAATGAGCTTTGACCTTGTTACTTGACCCCTTCACTGCTGTGTAAACGTATCTCATACAGCTCGAGAATCCACCACACAGTGCTGTGTAAACGTATCTCGTACGGCGGCTGAAATGCTTGTATTGTTTCGTTGATAGCTCAGCTTCTACTAAGTTTGGAATTAAAAAAGTGACAGAAAGCATGGGTTCTGCTACACAAAAACAAAGGGAGGTGTGTTGGTTTTCTTACACACATCATGTGAGACGGTCAGAACCAACGCGCTGATTGCCAACGGTTGTCTCAGTTCTTTATACTTGTTTACATCATCATAGCTTGTTCTACCCGAGTCTTGTCTATGAATAAAACCATTACTTCATTTCCCTTCCCGCTGATATATATATATATTTTTATGAGAAGCGAGAGCTTTGTTACTGATATAACGAAGCGAGGTGTGTTGTCTTTCTCACACTTATTGTGCGAGATAGAGCCACTGCGTAGAGCCAGAGCTCTTGTTCAAGCTTAGTACTTTCGAGATATTTACATTGTTATGGCTTGCACCATGCAGGTCTTGTTAATGGATGAATTTATCTCTTCGTTTATCTTTCTATTAATATAAGTTTTACTGACCTGTGTCTTTTAATAAGCAAACTATCGTTGATTTAAGATTGTGACCTGTGATGTCTTGCACATGGCAGAATTTTTCTAGCATGTAGGGTGCATATATGGTCAGCAGTCAAGGAGTTAACTGGAGAAGGGTAAAAGACTCATTTTTAAAACGATGTCATGTCACTTCCAGGGCTCCTCCCCTAAGGGTCGTAAGTTGATGAGTAAAAAGAAGGAAGGGTCTGGCTCAGGGGGCTCTGGAGAGGCGGTGTTCGTACCCTGCACCACATCCAACCCAGGCAACAGCAGGCCATCCACCAGCGCCACCAGCTCCAACTTCCAGATCTCTTCCTCTAGCTATGAGAGCTCCACTTCCCTGACAGGTGGGATGCCAGTGTTGGATATTAGGAGAGAGACACACACACACACACACACACACACACACACACACACACACACACACACACACACACAGACTCACACAGAGAGAGACAAAGGAACAGGCACACTGAAAAAGAGAGAGAGAGAGAGAGAGAGAGAGAGAGAGAGAGAGAGAGAGAGAGAGATTTCATCCTATTTCATCAAATCTCTTCCTAATTCTTCTCATCTCTTCCAATCTCCTCTAATCAATGCTATCTCATCCCATTATCTCATGTCATCTCTCCCCATCTGATTCTATTTTGTCTCGTCTTATCCAACCTCACCTCTCCCATCATATCCAATTACATCCCACCCACTCTCATCTTATTTCATAGTGTGCCATCTCATCTCGTCCAGTCTAATCCAATTTCATTTCTCCCCACAATGTATTCTTATATAAATCTCATTCCCCTCTCTTCTCATCTTGTCTCATTTCTGATACTCTGATATGGGTGGTTAGAGGATGCCACAGATAGGTCCTAGTTCTTTTCTTTCCCTTTATCATTTTTGTCAGTCTGTCTGTCTGTCTGTCTGTCTGTCTGTCTGTCTGTCTGTCTGTCTGTCCGTCTGTCCGTCTGTCCGTCTGTCCGTCCGTCCGTCCGTCTGTCCGTCCGTCCGTCCGTCTGTCTGTCCGTCCGTCCGTCCGTCCGTCCGTCCGTCCGTCCGTCCGTCCGTCTGTCTGTCCAACTTTTTCCTTGCACTAAATGATCATTAAGGTGCTGATGTGCTTCTTTCTACTCCCACATAATAATTTCTCACAGACTCGTCAGGCTCCACAACCCCAGGGCCACGAGAGGGTGCCATGAACAAACCTCCCACTGGCTCGGACTTCCTCAGCCACAAGAACTTTGAGGCTGCTGCCCGCTCAGCGGGGTCAGCCATGTTCCCGGACGAAGACTCGGAAGAGGGGATGTTCCACATGGAGGTCCTGATGGCCGGACAGAGATGGTTCTCCTCTCAGGGCTGGCCGGGCGGGCCTTACCCGATTCTCATACCAGAGACTCTCAGAACGTGAGTGGGGCAAAAAGTATATGGATAATGTTTGTCATTCGGCTATATAGATGTGCTTTGCAAGTCATCCTCTTTTGGACATAGATGTATAAATTTTGTACAACAAAGATTTTCAATTAAAGCAATTTTAAAGATTTAACCGATTCTACATTTTAGAGTACTCATGATAATGACAAATGAGAGGGTATACTTGTTAAAATTATTTTTTAAAAGTATTTTATGAATACAATTTGTATCTATTTCGTGAATGATATCGTGATTGAACTTTGTACAAAGTTTCAACTAATTCAGGTGAAAAACAGTAGAGAAATATGGAATTCCATGGACAATGTTGCTGAGAAAAAAAGTCATATTTACCATAGATTACATATTTCTAGGACACTTTATGCCAAAAAGTGAATGTTCTTTAGTATAACTGATCATGTAATGACATGTAAAATTGTTGAATAATAGAAATTTTGTCAAAATTTGATCCAAAATGATTTATATGACCCATTTTTTCACCAGGAGATATCCTTAAGACTTATAAAAAAACGTCACTACATTTTTCATGTACCAATACTTTATTTGTTCAAAAGCCAGTTTTCCGTAAAAAACTGTGCTTTAATAATAATAATGTTAAAATGTAATTTTCAAACGTTTAAAACGTAAGTCCAAACATGTTTAATCTGCCATTTATTGATCTTCTTCTGTAGAGGGCTGTTAATGGATGCTCTAATGGGGCTTGTTCTTTCTACTTCTCCACAGTGTCTCTTTTGTCCGACTCTGTTCTTTGAGAACTGTTGTCATTTTCATTTTTTCTCACAGAAATCAGCACGTCATTTTACTATCCCACTGTTGTTGAATCCCCTAAAAACCCACCTCTCTTTTACAGTGCTATAAGTAAAAAGACAGCTGCAGAACCTGCTAAAAACAAGGAGGAATCAGACAGCAAAACCAATCTGAAACCAGGAGCCAAACAGAGAGGGAAAGCAAGCTTCAACAAACTGGCGAAGACCATTTATGACATGATCAACTACCTGAGTGGGCGCTCGGTGCCTGGCATCCCTATCAACTCTCCACTGCCGGCCGACCCAGTAGAGAGGGTCAAGCAGATCTACTGGCAACATTGCACTCTTCTCACCTTCCTCAGGTGAGTGTTTTTTTGTGTCTAGTGGTTAATTTCTTAGCCGTAAGCTTTCTATTGATATGGCAAAACTTTATCTAAAATTGCCCCTTCTCATGGCTAATGTTTATTAGCTTTCTTTTTATTCAACTCTTGCTCAAATTTTATTTCTTCATTGTAGAGCTCCTTCTCTCTTCATTCATCTGTTTAAAAAAAGTTTAAAGTGATTTGAAGACTTAAACATCTAGTTTACAGTGTTTCATCCTGGCTGAATCTATATTATCTGAAAACATATATGTATAAAGGGTATTTCACACCTATGTTGTTATCTTTGTCATGTGCAACATTGTATGGATATACTTCCCAAAACATTACATGTATTATTGTAATGGAAAAGGATTTATTCAATACATTCAATATTGCATATAGACTTTGATCATTTGAACATGTTCAGTTCAATCTACATGACTTAAATGAATATAATGACAAAGCTTTTCTCTTCATCATTCAGGTGCCAGGGAGCTTGTGTATCTGCCATTCAACCAGAGTACTTAATGTCACCTGGAGATTTTGTGCTGTGGCGACAACTTCAGCGCAGTGTCAAGATGGAGCTGCTGCAGCAGGGCCAGGTGAAAGAGGCGGAGAAGATCCGCATTGATGATGATGTAGAGGAGGAAGTGTTTGAGGCTATTTCCAAACGCATGTGGACTGATGTCCTGCTGCAAATACTGAAGGTAACCACCTAGTGTGGAGGAATATTGTACCCTTTGTGCAGTTTCTCTCTTGTTATCACAAAAGCAAACAAGATTAGCAAGCTGCTTTGCAATCATATATGATATGTAATCATTATATTTTTTTCATACTCTATGTCCGAGTATAAGATCATGTTATGTTTCATCAAAGTGGTTTCATTACTTGTAGAAAGGAAAGTCCCATCAGTACAAGGTGGTTTCAAGAATGTAGAGATAGTAACTTGGATAAGAGACTGAAGATGTTGTATATTGTGTCAATATCATCTTTTTCATGTTTTTTTCCTGGATTTATCCATGTATTGCATTTGATTGTGCTGAAAATGTTTTGTCTGATATTCACTGATCTACATGAATTTCTCGTAAGATTTTGAATGTTTTCAAGACTTTGTTGAAGCATGGAGCAGATAGATTTATTATGGGATCCACATTGTTTTGAAATCAGAAAAATAAGTCACTTCCAACTATATTAGCCAAGAATTTGCTACCTACTCATTGTTACTATCACAGAAGCTGGTGACAACTCTGTTTATTTTTTCCAGTGGGGGATGAATAAAGTAAATCTTGTTTTGAAGTCGTGACTTTTGCTATTTCAGGTATTAGTTCTGGCAAAGGTCACACCCAAAACACTCAAGTCACTGACCAGCTTTGACAAGGACCTGGCCATGCCAACAGTCAACCCAGACCCCTTGTCCAGCAACATCTACAGCGTGGCTGAGCGAATCCTGTTGGCTTGGATGAACCACCATTATGAACACTACAGAGCACAGGTCTGGCAGGACTGCCCTAAAGGTAATGCTTTAATTCTTTAACCCCTGAAGTTTTATCCACGTTTTTGCTTGAATTTTTCCAGATTTAGTGGAAATAATAACAGGGTATGCGCGAGAAATGTTTATAAGATGGCTAAACTGTGTCAAAGTGAAAGAGAAAGTAGTTTATATATCAGAGTAGAGATAAACCAATCAGATTTGTAAGGGATTTTATTCACAGTAACACTTCATACACTCTGCGATCTGATTGGATGCTGGGTCGGTCCTCTCATGGGGGATGGTTGGAATTTCACTGGATGCTCCCATCATCCATTCGAGGAAATTTAGTTAACTCAGATAGACCCCATTGGTCACATACAACTGGCAGCTTCTGCAATGAAGTTTTTTGTTCAGCCTGTCTCATAGATTTTTTGTTTTTCCTTTGTGATTTTTTCTGTGAATGTAAAGGAAGGTCCTTATACTGCTAATGAATTAGTTCAGTTTCAAATTTTTGCTGCTTTGTATTTTTTTTCAGGAGGAGTCCCCCCATCTCGCTGGATTGTCAACTTTGACTATGATCTCATGGATGGACTGGTCATTGCTTCATTGCTGGGGGCTCACATGCCTTTCCTGGTGAGTAACTGTTATTGATTGTGTGTGTGTGTGTGTGTGGGTGTGAGGAGGGATACCGTATGTGTGTGTGTGTGTGTGTGTGTGTGTGTGTGTGTGTGTGTGTGTGTGTGTGTGTCTAGGATAATAAAGTATTATCTTATCTTATCTTATCTTATCTTGTCTTATCATCATCATCATCATCATCATCATCATCATCATCATCATTATTATTATTATTATTATTATTATTATTATCATCATCATCATGATTATTATTATTATTATTATTATTATTGTTATTATTATTATTATTATTATGCTATTATTGTTATTAATATCAGTACTATTAAATGAATTGTTCACTGTTTTTTTTTTTTCCACTCCCCAGATCAAAAGCCATTTGGAAGGCATGTACACACACCCCACTACTGCTGAGCAGTGCCTGCATAATGCTCTGAAGGTGGTCAATGCCATGAGATATGCTGGTGTAGACTATGACATTCAGGTAAGTAGAAAGGCAACAACACTAAGTAACTGGAATATCTGTTTTGACTGGAAAGGAATAGAATTGTGACTCTGAGTCCCTAAGATGATGTAATCATCAAGCCTGTACAGATTTTTGAAATAATATCAAAACATCTCATAAATTGTCAGGATTACTCAATCTAATTTGTGTGACGATGCGGTGGAATCGGGCGCTGTCAAATTTTGGGCATATAGAGTTATTGGTATCATCTTATAGCCTGTTCATTTGCCTCTTTTTTGTTGAAAAAAATACCCACCTATCTTGAATAGAAGTCGAGATATTTGCGATTGAAGGAGGTTAGGAAGGATGGCTTGGTTTCAGAAGCAAAATTAGGGAGAAAATGGCTGCCAAAATTTGGTGACTTTGATAGCTTGTGAGTCCTTTGACACTGAAAATTTATATTTTTTTGTGCTTTTAATCCAAAGTTTTTCTGTAAAATCCACAGGGAAATGTGTTTTAATAGACTTAAAAGGTGTTGAGTCAAAACACAAAAATTTGATAAAAATTGCCCAACTTGTAGAAAAAATTCTAGTTCCTTCAATTTTTTTTTATTTTGATGAGGACGCTATTTTACCATGAAGCCTCACATTTTTATTCCATTTATTTAACCTGTGGATATTTCTTCCTCTATGTTTGATACTATGGCACCTACACTCTTTAATGTATTACAGGTCTTTTTTTCAGAATGGTTGGTGAAGAGGAGAAGAATTTACTTGGCTTTAATAGACCTATGATAGCATGTTAAAGCATCTTTAAGTTCAGCGTGAAATTTGTTTGCAAATAAATAGCGTGATCAAGTGTTCTCAAAATGAAAATTAGTGCTATTCTTGAGGATATTTTAAAGTTTTTTAGACATCAAAATAAATTTTCCTTCTTTTTTCCCATGTGACTTCAGTTGAAAAATTCACACGCTGAACAATGTTAATAATTTTTATGCGTTTATTTTATCTAATTCATTGAATTGGTATTTTTTGTTTTCAGCATTCTAGACACTGAAATAAAATTTGCTTAGTTTTTTCCAAGTGACTTGTGGAAATTGATTTGGATATGTCCCATTTCTCCCCGCTTAACTGTACAATTTTCACTTATTTATACTCTTTTATTGTTAGCTTACCGTTCTAGAAGTTTTAGATTGATTTGTATAAATTTTTTAAATGTTATCATATCACATCATATCTTACCATATTGTCTTGCTTTATATCTATTTATTCTCATTTTAGGCCATAGACATCACAGACCCGAACCCTATACCTTTGCTACTCCTGGTGGTTCATCTGTACCAGCGGCTTCCTCAGTACTTGCCCAAGGCCACCATGGAATTTACTGGAAGTCTTCACAACACTGTCACCAGACAGGTACTGTTGACCTCTATGCCAGAGAACTGGGGAAAAAGACAGGGTGCTTTGAGCTTGTCCAGATAGCTGTATGCTAACATATTACTTGAGAGCACATCAGGAAAAAATGCCAACAGCAGTATGGAGCCCATAGATTTTTACAGTTTTGAGAAATATGAGTGGTCAGTTTTGCCAAATCTGTTTTGCATTGCATACTGGGATGTGTCAAAGTGGGGTTACTGGCAGAGGTGCTGTCCGTAGACTGCAGAGAGTGATAGCAGTATTATAGTGTGGTCAAAAATTCGTTGTTCAAATTATCCTCAAATATCTTTTTAAATGGATGAATCACTGTCTCCCTTACTTTTCACCGCAGTTTGTCTTAATTTGTCTTAACTTAATCTTATTTTTTCACAACAGTTGAGGCTTGATTAAAAAACTTTCCTTCATAAATTTATATAAAATACTACAAATCTCCTTCACACGGAAAGTAGAATTGTTCACAGCACTTCCCGCTTCTGACACACATGTTGTATACGCATATAGGTTACGTCACAGCTCACCAATGATACTTTAAAGTGGCAAAACTTGTTACAAGAAACTAATTTTACAGTGAATGCTTTTTTTGCACTAAAAGTTCTCAAAACCTGCGTTCAATAAAGATAATCTCGTGATTAGAAAAAAATTACAGACTTGCTTTTAAAAGCAATATCGTCCCTGCTGTAAACCTTTTAAAATCAGTAGAAACCACCAACTAGGGTTTTTTATTAGTATTTATTAACTCTTTATCTCCGATGGGGGTAAACCTACTATGGCGGGGCCCCTTTTTTGGTGCTAAATCTAAAAATGACAAAAATGTCATTCAATGGGTCACTAAATTGAAACGAGCAAACCTATTTTGAAAAATTTAAGAACAATTTTCAGGGTTTAAAAAAAAGCTGGGATTTTCAACTAAGTTATTAAAAAATGGAGTGGTAACAAATTTATCAAAGCTACCGTTAAACACACATCAGTGCAATTCATTTTCTTGAGTGTCTGGAGTCAATACTGAAAACAGCAGCTTTTGTAGATTAGGGTCCTTAATATTTTAAATCAGTATCCTGTTTGTATAGATCTACCCTTACAGCATTGATAAAACAAATTAATTCTTTTCAGAGGCTTCTGAAGAGATTTGATTTGATTTGAATACAAAATTTTGTTTCTTTTATATATGTCAGCCGTTGTCTCAATGTCAGCTGACAAGCTTTCTCAAGTGAGAGAGGTTCTGATTTTGAACTTTTCTGATCATTCCAGGAATGTTTTCCTCACGACTTGAAGACTGTTTGTTTTGCCTTTTTAATAAACTTCATCAAATCTAGTTGAACACTTATTTATCTTAATAATTGTATCTTTACACCCCATCGACACAATTCAGAAAATTTAAGAAGGGTGGCAATTTTTACCTATCTGGGCCAACCTGAGCTGACAGGGACACAACAAACCGGCAGACAGATGAAGGTACTCAAAAAAAACCCCCTCTCCCCACATGAAATCAAACCCACATCTTCTGCAGGGGATCACAAAGTGCCTAACTGTCACATAACAGACAGTTGTGTAGGACGTTTGACCTCCTACATTTTTTATTTTTCATACATAGACGATTCATTGCTTACTTTTTCCCCCCAGGTGAAGGTCAGTAACACGAGTCCCAAGAATCTGGTCTACCATGTGCTGATTGCTGGACGAGATGCTCGGGACTTTTCTGTGCCCAAAGGCAGCATGGTGACTATACCTCCCAAATCCACTCTCCCGCTGTCTGTGGAGTTCAAGAGTCGTTTCCTGAGGCCTGCTGAGGCTGTTCTGGTGCTGGTGGGCAGAAGGCAAGGGGCAGCCACAGGGAACACCTTGACCTTTAACCTCATCACTGAGATTGACAACATCAAGCCCAAGGTAAAGAATCTTTTTTTTGTCTTTTTGCTTGTTACAATGGCTTGTTATGAAATGAAAGACAGATCTCGTCCCTCTCACTTGAATAAATAGTTAAAAATAATACAGTTACTTATTTTCTTTGTGACAGCACCAAACTGGCATTTATGAGAAGCTAAATTTTTCACGATATATGACTGTCCCTCCAAACTACATTTCCCAAAGAACAATACTATCACATGTATTGAATTACCAATATCAACACTGGAATGGATCAGCAACACAATCCCATAGAGAGTAAGTTTGTTTTATTTGTCTTTTGTTGAGATACCATTTTACAGGAACTTCTCGGAAATGATGTGTTTTTAAAAACGTTTATTATGTGTTTCTTTTTTTTAAGGTGATGTGAGCTTTTCTTTTTGTGCTCAAAGTCCAACTTTCAAAAGTCATGCTTCTTTTGTTTCTCTGCACCCCTGACTTTACTCATGATCTGCTTTAAATCAAGACAGTATTCTAGGGCTGTAAGGGTAATTCCTTTTTCATTTATGATGGGAATATGAAAGTTTATCATGAATTTTACAATTTACACTTTACAGAAAAAAGGAACTGATCAGGTAAACTGAAAAAGAGTGAAGGAGTGACATCTTTACAATATTTTGAGTGCAACCCTGATTTTGAAGTGAATTAACCATGTTTCCTCCCGGAAAGATATGTACTTTGTGCGTGTGTGTTTGATTCTTTTATGGTGTGGACAATTTTTTAAATTCTAAACTCCTGCAAGTAGAACTGTGTCTTGAGTTATCTTTTAAGCAATTTTTTGGGGTGCAATTTGCTATTACATGGGTAATTCCTTTCCATAATACACCAAACTCTTTGTCTTTGAGAAAGGAGCCTAGGTTGGGTACAGACTTGGTATCACAGGTCCTGAAGGAACACGATCAGTTGGTCCTACATCGTCTATGTTTGAATATCATTTTTCCCTTTGCCTTATTTTTTTTGTGCAGGGCTATGATATAATCATTACTGGAACTTAAAAAAAATAATTAAGTCAGGCTTCGATGAAAGTATGAGTTTATCTTTTCTTTCTTTTTTGTTGTTGTAACTTGACTCTTTACAAAATTTCTCTCTTTTTGAACAAATTAGGGTTTTTAGAAATCTGCATGGTAATATCTAAAACTGCAGCAAATCCTATCTGTAATCTCATAAGCAAAGGCGAAAAGATCAGACAAGACCTACAGTTTAAATATCTAGGATATATAATAACACCTGATTGCAAAAGTTCTACAGAAATAAAACAAAGAATTACCATAACTAAGGCTAGTTTCAATAAAATTAGCCCAATTCTGAAAATAAAAACATCTCAATGACTACCAAAATGTAAGTTCTAAAATGCTATGTATGATCAACCCTTCTATATGGCTGTGAATGCTGGACAATCACCAAAGACAGTGAAAATGAAATAGAAGCAACAGACATGTGGTTTCTTAGGAGACTGCTGAGAATATCGTGGAAGGAAAATAAATCTAATGAGGTAGCCTAGTACTTGATGAAGCCCACGTGGGACGCTCACTGTTAAAAACAATGATGAAAAGACAAATTAAATGCAGTTTTTGGGACACCTAAATAGACATAAGGTCTTGAATATCTAGCTCTCACTGGCAAAACTGGTTGCTTTTATAGACAAGTGGACTAACCCAGATTTCTGCGGTTTCTAGAAATCTTGACTTACACCCAAAGTGGGCATACCCTACGTTTAGGAGAAATTCGGTTTCATTGGTATGCATATTTGTTTGGTTATAGAGAAAACTCTCCTTGTCTTTTAATTTAAAAAACTGAACAGGGTCCAAAAACTTTACCTTCGATTTTCTCAAAACAGCATTTTTTTAAAGCGACCAATTGAAGGCAAACAGGCCCAGAGCAACCTACTTAGGGAAGCTAAACAGATGGGAAAAGGGGAAAGTACAGAGTCACATGGCTTTTTTAAGAGCATCGAAGCAAAGGAATGAATAGAGAACCATGATCGCCGATGTCTGCCACAGATATGGCACTTGATGATGATGAGAAATCTAAATTCAGTCCTTCATTGTTTATCCTTTGTCTGGAGTCTGAATTTTTCCATCTGGCATTACTTATGACTTTATTCCGTAGTGTGATTTTGTATGCTGAAATGTATTCTATTGTGCTATGAGACAAAATATACACGCTTGTGAGATGTTTGTCATGTTACTTTTTCCTCCCTCTCTTTCTTCCACCTCTCCTACACCCCCTCAGTCTATTTTCCTCTTCGGTTGCCATCTCTGCTCAGTTTCCCTCTGATATCCATCTCTTCCCATTCCAGCTGAGTACAAATTTGTAGAACTTCAATCTTCTCTTTAAGATTTAAAAAAAATGAGTGCCTGTGTATCTTCATGTATTGAACGTTTTTACTACTTTCTCTCTATTACCTGTATTACCTGTCCTGGGCATCAATGTCATTGCACACCGGACAGGTCCATAAGTGCTCAGTTCCTCTCAGCATCAAAGCCCGCAAGGTATCCATACTGATTGTTCCAGTGGCTGTCTGATTGTGGTAACATCTTTCCTTTCTAGATAATCGTTCCTTTCTTCCTTCTCCCCTCTCTATCCCCATTTCCCGCATCCTGATGATTGCGTGGTGTTCTGCTGTCTCCCTGTCTTCCTCATCCCGCAACTTTTCCTCCAGGGTCTTCTACACTTCTCCTTTGTCAAATTTCACCTCGCCATCAACCATGGCACTGCTCACCAGCCTATCAGCCTCCTCATTACCCTTCACTCCAGAGTGCCCAGGACAGAATATCCTCGTGATGGCTCTAAGTGATGAGTGTTGTACTTTCTCTTTAGATGGGGAATATTTACTCTTGTGTGATATGCTTCTTCTACTTCTTTTGAGTTCTACTTTTGTCCAAATCTGTTTCCTGGCAAAGTGTGGTTGTTTGTCATGCTAACTCATCGTACCCTATTGTCTGACAACCTCAATATCTTTAAAGTTTAGCTCTTTTGCTTGTTTATTCTGAAACACACAAAGCAGCGCTACATCAGGTAACTGCAATATTGTATCACTCTAAAATAAAATGTATGGTGAGTGGATTTATTTTGCAGAGGTTTCTTTTTTTGTCACCGGAATGCTGTGATCACATACTTCAATGACTTTTTATGGAAAAGAATGCCTTGATGTATTGAGTTCTATGTATTGGTCACATTGTTCATCAGTGTGTCCTTGAATAAAGTGTCTGATCTTGAGTAATAAGATTTTTTCCTCAGATCTTTCACTCATTCAACATTGTTACAAATATAGATGCTTTTCTCATGTTTTTCTTCCTCTTTTTTGACTGGAATGTTTAAATAACAGGATGTTTTTTCTTATATTTCACTTGTCTTCCTTGACTATGATTTACTGTTTATTAGAATCAAGATTTGGGTTTTCTCTGGACTATCATCTGTGAAATGAGAGAAAAGCCATTATTTCGTGGACATGAATTGGAATTTTTAATATATTAGATATCAAAGGGTGAAGTAGAAATTATCTTATGGGAAGATTTCAAAGAAAATCTTAGAAGATATGATGGAAAACTCTTTCTATCTTAATGAAATTGGCTGTCACAAGATTGTCATGAAAAAATGGAACTTCTTGGACTCTTTCATAAGCAAGGACGTGTTAAATATTATAACCCGTGAGTGTTCTTCTTTCATTTTTGTTGTGCAACTAGGCAATGGTTTCTTGGGTGTAGGGTTTATTTCTATCACATACAAATTTCTTTCTGCATTGGTTGCACTGAAAGGAGGAAAGAGTTGTTCTACGCAAGAGTTTTGCACTCACCTGTTTTAGTTTTGTATTCATCACCTAACTCTGTGGCTTCTCATTTTATTTATGACGTGTCCTAAAACTCATCTTAAAATAAGACAAAGGTTGAAATAAGTGTACAATGATCTTGAGATCTCTTTAAATAAATCTTTGTAGCCTTGGAGATGGTGATATTAATGGCCTTTTGTAAATAGCTGCTTGCTGTGATATTCTGCAAAGAATATAGACACAAATTGTTAGTGATAGAAAGAGGTAGGAGAAAAATGCATTCGAAGTTAATCTACCTTTACAGAGAGTAGTGAACATTCCGTACTTTAAAAGTTATCTTTACTTCTCATCAAAAGCAAGCATTACCTAGGAAACTATCTTGCTTTTCTACTTGTATATATGTATTGTTATAATTGGCAAGGAAAAATAATTTTGAACTCATTCATTTTACACGTGATTAATCGCCCTGACTGAACAGTTTAGATTAATTTATGGCCATCATTGTGTCTTGTGGTTCCCTCTATCTCGTTGACCCCTCATTTTGATATTTATGCCTTTTCTCCACAGACGACGGTGAAGGTGGATTCCCCTTGCTATGAGCTGGAGAGAGTCATGTTGGAAGTTGTGAACCCTTTCCCTGAGGCTGGGGAGTTCAGAATTATATTGATTGAGAGCAGCACCAGTACTGCCGACGCTAACAACTCTTCCACTTTGGTCAAACCTAAAGAAAAGAAGGTAAGATCCATGATTCAGAATGGGAATACAGGGAAAAGTTGAATTTGCTTTACTCCACCATCAATGCACTTTTGATCATTTTGGGAGGTGAGCTGCTTTGACCCTGCCTGTCTGAGCCAAGTTGAGCTGAGAATGTTATAACTTCCCAACAAACAGTTCAGAAGCAGATACTTGATTATTAAACCTCCCTACTTGGTAGTCAAACTCACATCTTCTGTGTGCCGCAGCGAAGTGCCTCACCACTACACCACAGACACTGATCTAATATCATGAAGTTCTGGGGGAAAAAGTTTAAGAAAAAACCCCCCAGTAATGGATCTTCACGGGGAGATATGTTTTTCAAGGACATGCATAACAATCAAATAACATTGTAGTCATTACAATGCTATTAACAGTTAACTGTCATTGTTCCTATTAGGCCTATTGTGAGCAAAACCATGACTCCATAAAAGATCTCGTTTGCATTAGACCTATTTTCTTCTTCTTTTGGTTCTTTTGTTAGGGATGAATTCCTCACCTTCATTACACAGCCAGATGTCATCTCTTCCATTGTGGAATTATAAACACAAAGAGCCAGCTGTTTTCCTATGTATTTGCTGCATATCTATTTTGTTGTTCTATCTTCACTGTCTTGCCTTCTTTCTATCTTTTCTCCTCTTGTTTGACCAGACCAAATACCTTGTCTTTCAAATAATCCATTAATGTCAATAGGGAAATAAACTCTTTAGTGATCCTCACTTTAAAAAATTACGCATTGTAGGAAAGAGAAGCCAATGTTTATGTATGTGAAGAATTAGGCTTGCTTCATCCTGTGGACCGAAAGACATGCCCAAGCTGCTGTTGACTAAATCTAGCAGTCGACCCAATGGATCTCAGGGTCACATGACCTCATGTAGGCTCAGTGGGACCAGGTCTCAAAAGCATAAAGCTGTTTCTGAGAAGGCTATCAAACTGAAAGATGTTCAATTTTTTCACTCATGCCATGTGTACTCATAAAATCTGTTTAGTATTACGAGACAATTCTTGTCAAAATGATGACCAAAATTGTTACAGAATTTTTAAATACTATCCCCAGCAGTTATTTTTTTACTATGTCTGTGAGTGACTACTGTCTGCAGATAATTGAGTATGCAGTTCGGAGAATGGTAAGGGTGCTGGTTCAAATTTACTCTTGTTATATTTGCCTGTTGCAAATTTGTCTTACTTAAAAAAATTTTTTTTTTATTGTACAACAGTAATCAGGGAAATAAATTTTTGAAATGGGAGTTGTTTGAAAGTTGCTATGTGGATCCCCATTGTCAATCTTCGCAATTGAGAGGCATTGTGTCTTGGTAGGTCAAAGTGGTCCGTTCAAAGATCAACAATGGGAAAAAGCGACCAGAGACTCCCCCTGATGTCATACCCATGAACAAGATTCTGGAACAACAGGAGACTGTGGCACAGAAGAATGGTAAGATCAATGGATAAAAAGTGTTCTGGGGTGATGGGATATTTAACTGTGGTGAGTAAAGATGATGCTTTGGAACTGGGAGATAAGGTTAGGAGATGGGAAGAGCTAAACTCGTCGAATAAACTGTGTGTCTCAGGTATTCCAAGTCCGTCTGCCATTCATTGCGTGTTGAGGCTTAACACATATGGATTTTCTTAAAAATATGTGTTTTGAAAAGGATAATTCCATTTTTTAAAAACATATGTGTCACAACGTGGTAGAATCAGGCTCTCGTCAATTTTTGGGCATGTAGAGTTATTGGTATCATCTTAAAGCTTGTCTATTTGTCTTGCTTTTGATAAAAAAAATATCCATTTATCTTGAATAGAAGTTGAGATATTTGCGAATGAAGGAGGTGGGGTTCACTGGTTTTATAGGTAAGATAAGTGAGGAATGGCCGCCAAAGATGAACGGAAAATGAAAATTTACATTTTTTGTGCTTTTAATCAACGTTTTTCTGTAAAATCCACACAGAAATGTGTTCTTTAATGGCCATGAACGGTGTTTAGCCAAAAAACGGAAATTCTATAAAAATTCACAAACCTGCAGAAAAATGCCTGTCTCTTCACTTTAACTATTTTGACGAGCGCCTGATTTCACCACGCTGCCTCACATATATCATGATGCGATTGAATCCCGGATGCTCATAAATCATATGGAGTTATTGGTATCATCTTAGAGCTTTTTCATTTGTTTACATTTGGAGGAAAAAAATATGCGTCTATCTTGAGTAGAAGTCAAAATATTTGCAATTAAAGAGGTTGGGGAGGGGGGGGGTTTCAGAGGTTAAATTAATGACAAAATGGCTGCCAATGGAAACTAAAAATATAATGCCTTTAATCAATGTTTAAAAAAAAAGTAAATTCCACACAGAAATGTGTTTTTAAATCTACCTAAAAGGCGTCGAACAAAAAAACACAAATTCAATTAAAAAAAAGCTAAATGGGTGGAAACATTCTGGTATCTCCAATTTAATTATTTGATGAGCGCTTTATTTCACCAGGATGCCTCATATATGCCCTACATGTTAATACGTTATTGACAATATCATTTTAAAAAGAGAAGAACTATCAAAATAGATTATCGGAGGACTATTGTCAGGCACTGAGTGAATTAAATTGGAATTTTTAAGGATAAAGTTGGAAAATCCAAATTAATTTTTATGTATTGATTAGCTGAGTCTAAAACCTCCCTTTATGTTTATGTGCTAGTTTCAATCTTAGTATATTCTTTGAATTTTTTTTCTCAGCTCAAATCCCAACCCTGCAAGCATTCAACACCCCCATGAACAGTGTGCAACTGGATGCTCTAGGCTCTGCTGAGGTTGAAGTGGATTTTCTACCTTTCCATGTTGGAGAGCGCCAGTGCTCTGTGATATTCCTCAATGAGAACATTGGAGAGTTCCTCTACTCCATAGAAGCCAAGGCTCTGGAGCCTCTGCCTTCTTACCTCCCTTATGTACCTAGCAAGAGTAGTGTTAGGATAAGCAGTGCAGCCGCAGCAGGTGAATGGCTGTTCATTTCTCTGCGTGTGTGTATGTGTGTGTGTGTACGTGGATACGTGCTTGCACGCGCATGTGTGTTTGTGTTTGTATTTGTGTGTGTGTGTGTGTTTGTGTGTGTTTGTGTGTATGTGTGTGTGTGTGGATGTCTCTCTCTGTGTGTGTGTGTGTGTGTGTGTGTGTGTG